GAGGCATCGCTGCCGGCCAGCCCTACATTTGTCACTCCTTGCCTGTGGCCCCTGGTACCATTCCCCCCCTCCCCTCTGTTAATGGAGAGCCTGTCATAGACTAGATTTTAATGACCTTCATTAGGTGTGCCTCATTTACGTATAGGCCTGCATCAGACCCTGGGAACAACCCCATTAGGCAGATTAGTTTTCTACCTCTGAGTCTGGAGGCTTCATGGTGAAAAGTCATTCTGCTGGCCCCAGAGCCCTTCATCCTCCATCCTTACACACACACACACACAGCATCGTTAAATGTCTTATATAGTGAAAAGAGCCCTTCATCTAAAGTGAAAGGAACTGGGTTCAAATTCTGGCTCTTCCACTTACTAAAACTATGTAATTTGGGGCAAATCACTTCACTTCTGGGCCTTAGTCTCCTCACCTGCATAAAATGAAGAGGTTGGACTAAACAATTTTTAAGGTCCCTTCCAGCTTTATAAAACAAACAAACCAAAAAACACTATGATCCTGTGATCTCTAAGGCCCCTTCTATCTCTGAATGTGTAATAAAGGGAGTCCATATAGTACTTTAAAGTTTAGGAAAGCAGTAGCTCTGAAAAGAAATGAGAAAATTCACCTCCCTCCCATCTTTGTAGAGTAGGAGGGAGGGGGGAACTATGGGTGTGTATCATATATACACTTATAGACTTGGGTGATGTTTTGGTCAGTTTGCTGGACTGCTTTTTTCCCCCTGTTTTGTGTTACATAGGCTGGCTTTTTTGGGTGGGAAGGGAAAGAACATATTATTGGGGGTGGGGTGGGGGGAAAAGGTAAAGTACAGTGAGCAACTTAAAAAAAAAAAAGTCTATCAAGTACAATGATCTTCTGAAGCTGAGTAGTTCTACTTTTCAGATGAGGAAATGGTCATATAGCCAGTCAGTGTTAGAGTTGGGATTTGAAACCAAGACTCTTGACTCCAGGTCAACTGTTCTTTCTTTAAATCTTAGCTAAATTCCCACCTGCCATTTCGAATATATCTCGTACATTGTTATTTGCCATTGTTGTATCCACCATTAGACTGTAAACTCCTTGAGAGGAGGAATTTGGTTTTTTTGGCCGTTCTTTGTATCCCTAGCATTTTGCACAATGCCTGGAATGTAGTAGACACTTAACAAATGTTAGTTGACTGACTGCTGATGGTACCATACTACTTCTTATGCCTGTGGACATGCTAACACGTTTATAAACACACGCACAAGCGAGAAAGTGTTCTCTCCTCTCCTGCTTGCAACATTTAGGACTTAAACAGCAAATGGACGTTCCTAGGTGTCTGTTTTATATGGTACAGTGGAACAGGGCCTGGTTCTTGGAGTCAGAAGGCTTGAGTTCAAGTGCCTAACCTGCTACTTCCTATCTGTGATCTTGGACAAGTTAACTCTTTGCTGAGCCTCTGGATTCCTTCTCTATAAAATGAGGGGATTGGACTAGATGACCTTGTAAGGGCCTTGCCAGCTCTAAGTCAACGATTCTGATTGTTGCTCTGTGTATTTTGGCATCTAGGGTTGTGTCCTATACACCAAAACTAATTGTTTTTTAAAATGAGAAACCAGCTGGTCCCAGTCTGCTACAGAGTTAGTAATCATAGCCAAAAGAGCACTATGGTATATAGGCTTGCCACATCAGAAGCTCACCTCCCAAGGAAGCCTCTCTGATAGCTACATGAGAAGGGGTGAAGCATAGGCAGAAGGAAAAGAAAAACTCCAGGGATCAGACAGGCTCCCTGACTGCTATTTCCAGAAAGAGGAAAGGGGGGCTGGAACTTCGAGTCTAGGTCCTGTCTAAATGGACTAATGGAAAAGCTAATTGTTGTTCCTTCATTAATCTTGTTAGCCTAGGGGTGCCAGATAGCTAAGGCTTATAATGACCTCCTCTCACTGATTGCTGTCCCTGCCATGGAAACCCCCAAATTCAGATCATTCATCAGAAAGAGAAAAAGGAGGAGGCACTCAGGGGAAGAAGCCAGGTGCTGGTGTTTCCTTGAAGTATGTTTCAACTGCTCTGTTGGCTAAGTTGGGAGTAGGTTGTAGGTGAGGGAGACTCCTTGTGCTTTGGCAGTAAGGGAAGATGCTACAAAAAGTGTAGGCCTAGGATAATTCCAAGACTTTGGCTGGGGTTTTCCTAGTGTTCAAACCCAACATCATTCCCTCTTCCCCCAAAACTGTCCTCAACTCTATTCCAAGACAACTTGTTGCCATTTTAAGGTACGAATCTTTGGTTCTTTCTGTTTTTTGTCAATTGAAAAAAAAAAAAGGCTGGAGTGTGTGAAGCACCACAACTTTAGAGAGCCTATATCACATCTCTGAGAGACCCTAGTGTTTTATAAACTGAAAAGTGCTACATAAATACAGGTTTATTATTATGCACAATTATTATTATGTGAAGAATCTCTACTTTAAATAACCTCTCCTCAAAATTTCCGAGTGCATTTTGGATGGTTTTGATTTGCCCTTTCATTACATTTAGCCATCTATAAAGTCCTATGCTCCCTACAAACCATAAACACCTTAAAAGTAGGGTCTAAGTTCTGGCAGGGGAAAGTTGGTGCAAACTCCTTCTAGTAACCAGGACTCAAAAAAAAAAAAATCCCACCCCAGCTTCAAGTTACAGACCTTGACACGGGGAACAAAATAGAGGAAGAATGACCAGTGCCACTGGGACTCCCTTGTCTCTACAACCTATGCTTCTGAATAGCTCTGAACAAGGAGATAGGGGTAGAAATGGTACTGGAGATGTATGAGAGGCCTGGGATCCAAAGCACGGCAACAGTAGGGGACTTAGGATTCAGTAGCTATGGAGTTAGTGATTGGGAGTTAGTAAGTGCTCATGGATCTAAGTTAAGATTTAGGAAGGTTATCTTAGATTGGATTACATCCCACCCAACTTCCTCATTCTATGGATTTGAAAACTGAGGAGCAATTAAGTGACTTGCCCAAGGAGTAAGCTGGGTTCCAAATAGTTCCAAAGCTGCCACTTTCCACTGTACCATTTTCCAAGGTGTCCCAGGGAATTAGTCTCCAGTGAAAAGAGGGATACCAAGACAGACAAGCCAAAAAAACTTTCCCCTCTTTTGCCAGCCTCCTCCCCTTAAATTTAACTTCAGTTCAACTTTTCTCACTTCAACCATATTACAACCTACGATTCCCATTACCTGCCCCTCATACACACTAGATCTTCTCATCTCACTTTTTATTCCTGTAAATTGACGTCAGCCCTGCTGAATCATGAAGCTGAGGTTTTTAAGCAAAAAAAAAAATCTGTTAGGGCAGAGAAGCCACATGGGCCCCTTGCCTCTTCCTCCTCTTCAGTGATGGTATTTTTAATGGTGTGCACAAGATTTCAGTTTTGGCAGCACATTAAAGAAAACAGCTGGCCACATGTTGGCTTTTTGCTGGGCCCTTTTTTATACACATACACAGCAATTTCTAAATATTCAGTCTATAAAATAATGCCCTTAAAGCTGTTTTCCTATCCTTAAAAATCCCAATTTCCCTCCCTCTCAAATGGACATTATAATATGATTAGATCCCTGTGCATGGCCCTCACTCTGGTGTCCTTCAGGAAACCCTTTGGGGTCCATCCCTAGGCTTCTTACCTGGGGACTAAGAAGGGATAGTCAGTTTACAGAAGAAAGTTCACTAATCACTCCCCTCCCCAGGAGGGCCCCCTCCTTTTCATCCCTCAGGACAATAACCCTGGGACATTGGGGAGAGAATTGGAAACAAACAAACAGCTCAGACTCCCAAGAGAAGCCCTTTAGACAAGATGTCAGCTCTTTCTCTACCACTCCCCACTTATTAAAATGGGTCAACTTGAGAAAGCTTTAAGAGATCCTAAATCTTCTCTAGCCACTCTTAACCTTTGAGCCTGGAACCTATTTAATCCAAAAGCATGCCACAGTGACTCTTGCTCTCCAGCCCTAAAGTTAATTTCACAGAGCACTTTACAATTTGAAAGGTATTATTAAAGATTAGAACACTACATTATAAACATGTCGAAGGCTCCAGAGGGCCATTTTAACTTTCAAAAATGGAGAGAAATGTAGCATAAAGCCTGCTTAACCCCAAACCCTAAAATGACTCAATTAACAGCTCTCCTTACTGTTGAGTTTGCTGATTCCCAGCACTAGCCATTCATCAGATTCTGATTTCCTGGAGCACTGCAGCCCCCCCACAACCTAGACCTCAGACATACACAGACAGGCTCTTTCCAAGTTGTTCCCTACCAGCGGCTAATGTTGATACAGACAGTTGGTACTGAGTGGCCATTTCTAAACCTCAATCCCTTTCCTTGGCTCCTCTGCCACTGTTTAAAAAGTTACTCTGAACAAAAAATTTAAGAGTAGATGAGGATGAACAGAGGAAGCTAGACTGTGGCCTTGTCCCCATCCCAGGATTATGTAAAAATCCCTCTACTCTGACCGGAAGCTTAAACACAGCATGGGATCTTCTGAACCAGTCAGCAGGATTTTTTTCACCTGCCAGTTGAGACGGTTTATTGAACTGTTAAGGACTACCGTAGTTAATTCAACCATTTAAGTTAGCTATCAAAATCTCTGGTTACTCTAGTACTTTTAGGGTATGTACTTCTAATTCAGAGAAGAAGGAATTAAGTCCAATTAGACCAGATCCAAGGATTCTGATTAGAGTCTATAGTATCCTTCAATTCGTTCTTTTCAAAAGACTTCAGGTCTTTTGGACATTTGGGGAAACCAGGAGTAAGCTGGGTTCCAAATAGTACCAAAGCTGCCACTTTCCACTATACCATTTTCCAAGGTGCCCCAGGGATTTAGTCTGGGACTAACTAACCCCCAATGACAAATGACCATTACTAGTCTTAAAGATTTCTATAAGGGGAAGCCCCCTCTTTGTTCTTTCCCATTCCAGAAGCACCCTCAGGCTGACTCAAAGCTCTCTGAAGGCAGACCAACCCCAAGGTAATGAACACATCAGAAATGTTTCTCCTTTTCTTGGTTTAAAAAAACTTTTATAATAAAGTTTATTACATTATTTTCTTTTAAAAATATAAAATAATAAAGTTTCTGCATAGCAGAAAAATTAAGCCAGAGACCCCAAACCCCTGGTTTGTGCAAAGATATTTGATGTTTGTAAACATGAGGAGGGAAGGGAGGTAAGTGTACGGGTCCCTATCCCAAATACATTAAAATAGAAAAATAAATGGGCCTCGATTGCCTCTGAGGCAGGAGGGAAGAAGCACCCAGGGAGTGGGACAACTCCACCCAAGGACATTCCTTCCTTGGGAGGGGGCTTTGCTTTCTTCCTTTTTTTATGGATCTTCAGTTATACCCACCAAACCACACACACACAATCAGCATCAGCTCCCTCTTACTGCCATACCCCCTACCCAAGAGAAAACAAAACCAACCCCCCCCCAAAAAAAACCATAGTTAATGCTGCCACCACATTCTTCCATCTTTTCATATCTGGAAAGGAAAAGACTTCAGGTAGTCCTTAAGGACAGGATTTAGGGGGATCTTGCCCAAGTTGTCCCTTCCAAAGGTGGCTACAATGCTCTTTCGACACAGCTCCTGCAGGGGTCGTACCCTTAGTTGTCGCAGGGGGGTCACCAACATTTTTCGGGGAGAGTTCAGGTAATGTTCCAGCAGCTTGAAGAGGCAGTCGAAGGTCTCCCGGCTGCCATCCAGGTTGAATCGACCAGCCTGGAAGTTGACCCGGATGCTGGTGGGCCCTGAAGCCATCTTAACACTGATGGCAAAAAAACAGTTCTTCTGCCGGCTATCCCGGACCAGGAAGGTCCCCACCGGCTCACCCTTGAGTTTCTCATGGGCCACGTTCACACTGAGAGGCCCCCAGTAGAAGCCACAGGCATCCAGCAGGGCGCTGGCTCGGGTGATGCTGAAGTAGTCCGCCTGGGAGCGGAAGGTTCGGAAGTGAGTGTCCCCCTGTCCCTGGGTCGTCGCCGCCAGGGCCACCGCACCATGCTGCGGCGCCAGGCCGTGTTGGGGTCTGGGCTGTGGGATGGGATGCTCCCGGCCAGCCCGGTGGGACGGAGGAGAAGGGTCGAGTCTTCTTCTTGTGTCTGCTGTAACTGCATTGTCGGCTGCCACCTTACTGTGTGCTACCATTCTACAGACTGGGCCAGCCTGTGGGGTCGCCCATAGCGTCCGGCGGCGGGCTTGGGCTCCGCTCCAGCAGCAGCTACTCTGAAATCCCAGACAGAAGGGCAGAGAGAGACAGGGAAAGAAAGAGAGAGAGGCAGAGTGAGTGGGGAACATTTCCTGAGAGCAGGCAGCCAGGCGGGGCTGGGCAGACAGTGTGCCAAGTAGAGTCTGCCCTGGGTTGGGGTATCCCCTAAGAGGCTTCTGCGCTCCTGGTCCAGGGGTGGCAGAGGATGAGGATACCAATGCTCATCTAAGCTGGAGAAGAGCCTGGGGAGCAAGCCTGATGTTTCTCTGCAGGATGGGTTAAGTGAGGGGGCGGGGTGGGCTGCTGTGTACAGTACAAATATCTATATCTTTAGATTACGGCAAGTGTCCTGGAGTCTGAGAGGTGCCCTCTCCGTGGCTCCCACCCCCCATTCCCTGGCCACAAGCCCAGACATTTCTTTCATCGTTCGTCGCCTCCCCCTGCTGGCTAATAAGCTGCAAGACAGCTGGTTCTGGGACAGTTCTTGAAAATCAGAGAGGGAAAATTCCCAATTTTCACACAGTTAGCTAGCTGCCTTTAAGGGTGGGCTGGCCAGATCGGGGAGATGGCCCCAGATAACAAGGTTCTTTCAGTCTTCCTGCAGAATGCTGTCCAAGGACCAGAGTCCAGGAGCTAAGGAATGATGCACACTGGCAGCCATCACCTCCCCCCCCCACCCCAACCGGCGACCGGGACTCTAAGGACAAGGAGACCAGGAGGGAGCAGAAAGAGGGTACAAGGGATGGCCCACAACTCAGGAGACCCTATTCCGAAGGCTGGAATGCGGACAGGCCAGGAGCCGGGTCTCCGTAGCCCTAGCCCTCCTGCTCCCTCTCGATGATGATGCTGGCAGCCCGGCAGGAGAAGGTATCCAGCCAGCCCTGTGCCAGCCTTCCCGCTTTCTTCCCTCCCGATCCCCTCCCTTCAGTGGGGCCTCTCTTCCCTCGGCTATCCTGGTCCCAAGCTGGGGATCCCGCTCCTAACTGCCCCGCACGGAGTGCATGGCGGGAGGAGAGCACGGAGACCCCAGGCTCCAGGACCTCCCTCCCTCCCTCCCTCCCCAGTCTCCTGCGGCTCCCGGTGCCCCTAGTTCCAGCTCACCTGGTTACCAGGCGGGTGGGCGCGGCTCGGCGCCGCGGGCGGGGCGGCGGGGGAGCTCCGGGGCTGCTCAGGCGCATAGTCCGGGGCTGGGAGGCAGTGCAGCTGCTGTAGCCGCAGCCCCCGTCTGCTCCGCGCACAGCGCAGGGCGCAATCTATTTAAATCTCCGAGGTTAGTTGGACCAGGGTGGGTGGGTTGGGGCCGGCGGGAGGGGCTGGGAGGGAGGCGTGGTCCAGGGCTCCTCCTCTCGGGCTTTCGGTTTCTATTCTGGAGGTGAGGCAGCGACGCCCAGCTCCCGCCCAGCTCCGGCCCCCTCCTGCCCGTGCTCAGCTCCAGCTCCAGCTCCAGCTCCGGCGCCTACTCCTTTCTCCCCGTTGTTTAACATAGGCTCTGTTTGCCGGACATCCTTAACGCCCTCTGGTTCCCATCTCGGCCCCGACTCTCTTCATCCCATCCTCACTCACTTCTCGGCCTCTCCAGCCCACCCCCTTCTCCCACTCCTTAAGCCCCAGCCCCCTCCAACTCCAGTTAGCGCTCCGCACGACCACTGCGCGCCTTTCATCACCGGAACCCCGCTCCCTAGGCCCAGTTCCTCCTGCTCGTAGCTTTTGCTTCCCAGGAAGCCGATGCTTTTAACCACAGAGTTCAGAGGAATTCCTCGGGGGAGAGCCTTAACCAAACAGCACATCTGTTAGTTCCTCGGAAAATGGGTGTGGCGAGGGGTGGGGGCCGGGCTTGGCTAGATCCCCAGAGCCGACTCTCTTGAGTCCTCACCCGCTCCACACCCAGCTTCAGTCCAGGACAACCGAAGGCTCCAGGAACTCCGGCTCGGGACCCGGCACTGCAGCCTCAGCGGATGCTATTGTTAGACCGTGGGGGAATCTTTCTGCAGCAGGTTTCCCGGCAGCTGGAATAACATGCGTATTTCTTCCTCCCCCAGTAAAGTTTAATTCATCAGACAGTTATTGAGAGCCTACTATGTGCAAGGCCCCACGTTAGGAAGAAAGAGCGATAGAGAAGGAAACTATACTGGCTCCGCCAAGCTGGAATTCATTGGCCTAGATTGTATTCATGCTCTCCAGCACTATAGAAACGTGAACTATTATTGATTACCCTTTAAGCTATTATTGTTGTTGCTTGGGGAGGCTAGCAGCTGGGCTGGGTACCTCCCCTCTCTGTCCCTGCTCCTCTTCAATCTGAGAGGTTCCTGCTTGCTCACTCCTGTCCCTTTCCTTAAGGAGGGTGATGGGTCCCAAGGTTTGGAGGGGCAGTGCGGTGTAATGGAAAGAACATAAGACTGGGGCGGGGGTAGTGGAGACAGAAGACTTGGATTCAGAGGACTGCCTGTGAGGTCTAAGGGAAGTCGCCTCACTTTTCTGGCCTTCAGAGCCTGCATCTATAATATGGAGATAACCACTTCTGCAGGGTAGGGCTGTTGGCAAGGATGGAATGGAATGCAACATAAGAAAGCCTTTTGGAAGCTGGAACTCTGTACAAATGTGTAATAGTGTTAATGATGAGTCCACGACCTTGATCCTTGCTTAACACCAGACAAAGCCCCTTCCCGTGTTTCTATTGGGTAACACGTATTTTCCTCGTCCGTAAAATTCTGGCTTTGAACTACTGCTAAGGTCTCTTCCAACTCTAAACTTAGGAGCCTGTGCTCCTATCAACTTGAACCTAGTCTTCAGCCCCAACCCTTCTCTGCACCCTGGGCCCCCTCCTTTCCAGATCTCCCCTCCAGCTGCTTCCCCAACACCACATCCTCCAAAAAAAAATTATTATTTTTTTAATATATTCCAGCTTTGGTCTTGTGATTATGCAGTCTTCATGGTTATGGTTTCAAAAAGGGATGACATTGTTTTCTGAACTCAAAATTGGAACATAAAAGTTAACAATTTTTTTAAAAAAAATTGTAAATGGGCCAAAATATTGGAAATTAGAACAGTCTCTGAAAATACCAAATGTATGCTACTGGTGGAATCCCTCAGGTTTGTGTTAAGGGACGGGAATGGTGAGAACAACGATTTTTGTTTGTTTTGTTTTGGGTTAGGCAATGGGGTTGTGACTTGCCCAGCATTACAAAGCTAGTAAGTGTTATGTGTCTGAGGTTAGATTTGAGCTCAGGTTCTCCTGAATCCAGGGCCAATGCTCTATCCACTGAGCCACCTAGCTACCCCGAGAACAATGATTTTCTTCATTTTACTTACTGGAAAGTCTGCACAGACCAATTAGGGATTCTTCCAGCTAATCAGAAATGTGAGAAGGTTGGTGAAATCTTGGTGCTTCAAACAAAAACTATCTTGGACAAGGAGACCTCTTGGTACAATGGGAAAAGCACCAGCTCTGTAGTCAGTGGACCTGGGTTCAAACCAAGAAAAAAATTTAACCTTCCTGTGTTTCTCATCTGTGTAATACGGGTTTGGACTAGCTGACTTCTTAGATCACTTCCAATTTTACACATATGATCCTATTATCTCAGCTAACTTATTTTAAGCAGGCTGTTTCGAGGAAAAATTCACACATTTCACATAGTAAAACATGTTTCCAGGTTGAGTCAGACTGGGATTCTTGTCCTGTCTTTGTCACTAACTAGTTATGTGACCACTGACAAACCATTCTATTACTATGAAATTCAGTTTCCTCATCTTAAATGAAGATAAAATAATACTTACAAGTTTTCCCTCTGCTGAAACCATGGCCCAAGGCTTACTGACAAGGGGAAAAAAAAGTCCATCTGCACAAAAATATTGCTAGGAACACTATTTGTAATAGCTAATATGAAACAAACCAAACCAAACCAAGCCAATGAGACCAGCTAAGCAATGTAATGGAATTTTATTATAGTATAAATAATTTGGTGAATTCAAAGAATCCAAAGAATCTAGGAAGACTTACAAAGGCAATACCATCAAGTCCTCTAAGAAACCAGAATCAAAAGAACAACAGCAATGCATGTAAACATTGATTCTAACAACAGAACTATAATTGTAAGGCCAATAACAACTACAACCAATCTGTGTCATAGAAACAAAAAAGTCAAAAAGGATGGCAAAACAAAAAAGATGGAGGCTCAATGACGTTCAAATCAAGATGTGTGTCTTTTATGTGGATTTACGAAATAATAACAAAAATGGGTGGACCTGTCTCTGATCATTTAAAGTCACTTAGGTTTTGTTTGTTTTCTTGCATTCCTGTAATTCTTTTCTTTCTCCTTATGCTCTTGAAGAGAAAACCCAGCTGGATTGTCTTTCTTGAAATGAGAAGGTTCTGACTACTCATCTCAAGCGGCACTTTCTACATCATGAACTCTCTCTTGATCGCTCCAGCCCTTACTGCCCTCCTTCTGAAAACTACCTAGTATTTAGTTTGTTTATATCCATATAGATCTTCTAGGTGGCACAGAGGATAAAGTGCTAGACTGGAAGCCAGGAAAGACCTGAGTTCAAATCTACCCTTAGACACTAGCTGTTCAGTTTATCGGTAAAATGGGAGTGATAACGATAATACCTACCTCCCAGCATTGCTGTGAGTATAAGAGGAGATAATATTTGTAAAGTGCTTTACGTGTTAAGGCTCTCAAGTCTCAAGGTGCTATATAAATGCTATTATTAGTACGGTTCCCACCCCACCCCTCAACAGAATAGGAACTCCTTGAAGGCAGGTACTATTCCATTTTATCTTTGTGTCTCTAGCACCTAGCACCACGCCTAAAACATAGTAGGAGATTAACAAATGATTGAATAACTGCAAGCTTCTTACAGAAACAGGTCTGATGGGGTGCTTGGGTGCTTGTGCTTGGACCCCAATTTCTCCCTAGGTTCAGAAACACTATCCCTGACACTTTCTCCTCAACCCAAGGATACTGTGCCTAGCAATTACTCATGCTTGGGCCCCAGCAAAACCCTTGTCTCTTTCCCTGGTGCAGTTACAAACAGCATCTGAAGGAATTATTCATTTGAAGTGGCTTTGCACTGGGTCATAATGACATTCTTACCCAATGGACTATCTATGCTACCCCCTACCTCATTATCTACATCCTGGACTCCTCATTATCTGTATTTGGGACTTAAGACATATGTGTACTCCCTATATCTATCTTGTCAAACAAGACATTGACTGGTGGCAGACTGGACAACTCTCAGTTACCCCTGAACTCTAGTTGACTTAGTGACGTTGCAGGCCTAAAACCACACCCCTCTGTAGCCCCTTCTTGTGGGCTTTTCCTAGTGAACTCTGGGTAAAATGCCTGCACAGTGGGTACAAGAAGTGCATGTTCTTTTAATAACTGACCACTCCTTAACCACTCCCCAGTCTCACCCTGAATCCCCTAGTTAGCATATTTGGCACTTGTTTTATTGTATTTTATCCTATATAAACTTTAACTGTGCCCCTCTAAAGTAGCAGGTCCCTTAAGAATCCTTGCCCAGTGGCACAGTGGATAGAGCACTGGCCCTGAAGTCAGGAGGATCTGAGTTCAAATCCGGCCTCAGACCAAACACTTGACACTTACTAGCTGTGTGACCCTGGGCAAGTAACTTAACCCCAACTGCCTGAAAGCAAAAAAAAAAAAAAAGAATCCTTGCCCAATGAAAAGTGTAAAAATAAACTTTTTACCACCTTGACTTAAAGAATGCTTGAGTCTGTGAATTCATTCCAGACCACCGGTCATGTGCTCCAGTCTTTGAGTGGTCACAACCTCTCAGACCACAACAGGTCCATCTATTTATCACCAATATTCTTCCTTCAATGACATATGGCTGAGAGATATAAGCATTATAGTCTCTGGCAACATCAGAAGATTACCCAAAGGGCAATGGAGATACCTGCAGTGGGCACAAACAAGTTGCAGTGCAATGTTGTTGTTATTCAGTCATTTTTTTGGTTGTGTCCAACTCATCATGACCCCATTTGGGGTTTCTTGGCAAAGATATTGGAGTGCTTCACCATTTCCTTCTCCAGCTAATACAATTGAGGAAACTGAAGCAGAGTTAAATGACTTGCCCAAGGTCACAAAGCTTGTAAGTGTCGGAGACCACCAGATTTGAACTCAGGAAGATGAGTCTTCCTCACTCCAGGCCTGGCACTCTATCCAGTGGGCCATCTGGCTGCCAATATACCACGCTACCTGTTATATGTTTGTTCTGATCAGTTTCAGGAGAGTAGGAAGTATTTGACAGTGAGACATTTCTTGCAGGGGGACAAGGGGACACATCTTGTGGGGATGAATATTTTATCCACTATTCAAAAATGTGTTAAAGACAAGAGTAATAAAATATTGCTTCACCAAAAATATTCTTTCATTCTATAGACATCACCAATTCCTCAGTACCTTTTCTGCTTGGTTGTTTTAATAGCATCTCCAGCTATCAGAGCTCATAGAATCTTAGAGACTGTAAAATCAAAAGGTCATACAGAGAGAGAGCTGGAAAGTATGTTAGAGACCATCTAACCCAATTTCCTTCCTTTTACAAATGAGGGAATCAAGGTCCATAGAGATTAAACAACTCTACCAAAGGCTCAGCACACTCTCCACTGCACCCAGATCTAGAAGATCTAGTCCAATCTTTTCACTGGATGAATAAGAAAAGAGAGAGAGAGAGAGAGAGAGAGAGAGAGAGAGAGAGAGAGAGAGAGAGAGAGAGAGAGAGAGAGAGAGAGAGAGACCCAGAGAGACACCAGTTAAAGCTAGTTAGTTATTGGCTGAATTGGGGCCAAAGTCCAGGCTGTCTGATTCTAAGTACTCTTTCAATGGAACTATCCCACTCTACACCATTTACCTTTCTTGTTTACAAAGGCTGTTCCCCCATAACCAAAACGCATATCTCCACCTGTTAGAATCCTTGTTTGCTTCAAAACTCTGCTCAGATACCATCTCAAGGTGATATGAGGCTTTCCTTCATCCCTCAGTTTCATCCCTCCGTTTCCCTCAATATTACCTCTTATTTACTTTGTATGTACTCGTATGTTGTGTGTCCCCACCCACCCAACAGAGTGTGAGCTAAGCAGGGGCTGTTTTATTTTGGTATTTGTACCCCTTGTTAAAAGCACCTAGCACAATTTCTGGCTTGTGGGAATCAACTAATAAAAACTCATTAACTGAATCCTTTACCTTCCTGAACCCCAACAAAGTTCCATCCTAAACCACTTCCCGTCTAAAACTCAAAGAATTATCTCAGAAGTTGCTTGTCTTGGTGTTTTGGATCAAGCCTAAATCAGATTGTTGGGTTTGGAAGTGAGACATTTTTAAGACCACACAACCTTTAACAAAAGAGAGTTTATTAAACAATAACATTGAAAGGATATTCAACCATTGATTCAATTGGGCACAACTGCTCTGGCCTTCACGTTTGTTATGATGATGGCCAAGTCAAAAAGGTGTGTTGACTCCAACGAAAGCTATGTCAATTGTCTGAGCCTTAGCCTCCTGGACCAATTAAATCTTCCAAGATGGTTTCATTGTCTTTTTTAAGGGAAAATGAGACTATATGGCAGTGGCTTTCCTAGGCTAGAAGTGCTGTCATGATCCTCAACTAAATTAGTAGTAGATATTATTCCTACCACACCTGAGGAACACAGGGAATTAAACTCCATCTATACAATTGATCTCACTTGCTGCATTTACTTCTCACTGGGGGCAGATATATTATTTGTCATTGCAAATTTCCAAGATTGCATGTGTATTTATGTGTGTGTGCCTGTGTATACATATTTACATTGGTGGGATTCTATGTAGTTTTAAGGGTCAGGCTGTAGCAGATGTCAACTTTAGAGACCTCAGCTTGGAGGAAAGAGAAGTCAATGAGTGAGAGGAAGATGGGAGGAGGGGTGCTTAGAACCCAGCCCATGCCAGTACTAGGCTGAGAAGAGGTACCTCTGTGTCAGGTGCTGTCTTCTCCAAATGAGAAGGGCAGAGTGATTCCTATTGTGAAAAAAGAAGGCTCAGGCCTGGGAGCTGATTGTTCCTTGGTCAGAGAGTGTACTTGGCAGACTCTCAGCAGAAAGGGATATAAATAGCTAATTACCCTCCCATGCATTTACCTGCACATGTCTGGATTTGCATGCCTTATTCTGTCTGCTCATATAAGCTATGGCAACTTGGGGCCTCCAAAATCGGGTACCTTGGCTAAAGTTTGACTGGTATACTTATGCACCACTGCCCTTCCTAAGAGCATCCCCAGGCAACCCTCTTCTTTTGGGTTTCCATTTATTTAGTTTTCATATTCCACTAACTCTCTTTGCTGACCTTGTTTCTACCTCAAATTTCATGCTGATATAAAGAATAGTTTCTTTTGCCCCATTTTCCTCCCCTCCCAACAAAGTCACCTTCCCTCCGTCCCTGACCCTTTGTTGCCCCTAAACACACACCTTTTATATATAAACCTAAGGAAAGTACAGGGTGGAAACAGCCTCTGGCTGAAATCTTGCCAAAGTGTGGGGAGAGACTGGGATAGAAGGAGGCCCGTCTTTCCAGGAGGTTATACAGGTCCATCTGGTTCCTCCTCTCCTTTAATTTACAGGTTTGGGAAGGTTCTGAATCTTCCCCTCCAGGCTTCCACCTCCTCCTCTGTTGACTGATGCCTTGTTATTACTTCTTATCATCTCTTTGGACAATTCCAGAGAATTACAACATGTGTTATAGTGTGCTGAGTTTATTAAAAACAAAAAACAAACAAACAAAAAAATGAACCCGCAAACCCAGAGATGAAAAAGAAAGGGGGATGGAGAGAATGAGAGAAATGACCCCTCAGCCTAGGTTGTTCAAGGGCCAGGTGGGTAAGATGAGAGGAAATGTTAAGAAGCAAGAGCATCACAGAGTCTTGGGCTTCCCACCTGCAGAAATGCAAATAGATGAAAAAGGCCCATCTACTGTTTCTTATCCACTGCCACCCCTACCTCCCCCCTGCAATACAAGTATTACCTTTCATAGCCAGCCTGGGGAAGAAAAGTCCCTAGCAGCTCCTGGCTGGCAGACGGGTTGGATTGACCAGCCAGCAGTCTAGAACAGAAATGAGCAAGGACATGGAAAGACCTGGCTAGCAGAGATGGGCGGGAACTTTGTGCTTTTTTAAAAAAAAAGCAGGATCTGTGGTACGCTCTTCTTGCTGGGAGCCCAGGAAAAATGCAAAATGACACTGTTTTACAGCCATCTTAGTGAGAGAAAAGGCCAGATGGACTTATATTCTCTTGAAGAATGAATATTGCAAAATTATGGAGAAAAAGTGTGGCTCTGAAGATGGGAAATGAGAAAACATCTCAATTCTTTGGGGAGCTGGGGGGAGAGACTGAGCCTGGTTTGGAACATTGCATTTAATGTCAGATTTATTTTTTATCATATTGATTGCTTTTGATTTTTTTTCTCTTCCTCTTTTTAAAAATGAAATGCAAAATATATACAAAGTCATTTCTGGGAGGCAGAAAGCACTTGAAACTGAGGAGGATCCAGAAAGGCCTCAGGCAGCAGATAACATTTGAGCTCTGTCTTGGGAGAGAGCTAAGGATTCCGAGGAGGGAGAGGTTCTCTGTGAAAACATTCCAGGCTTGGGGGATTCTACTTTATCAAAGACTAGAATATTCCCCTGGTGGAAGAAAATGAGCTTCTTAAAACAGACCCAAGAACTCAACTCTTCTGATTCCAAAGCCCTGGGCTCTTTTTACTACTGTACTCACCATTCACCACCTCCTTCCTTCCTTCATCTCTCTTGTAGTAATCTATTCTCAATGTGGCACTTTGAGGTTTCAATATCAGCTTTTAGAAGATTTTAATAATAGTTCATATGAGACACCTGCTTCACAACAACCCTGTGAGGTAGGTGATAGGAAAGAGAGGCAAGGAGAAACTAAATAACAGGCTGAAGGTCACAGTAGTAAGGGTCAAAGCCAAAACTTGACCCCTAATTCCACTATTATATGCCTCTACTTCAGCATATGATAGCATGGTAAATGCTTGTTGACTGAGTGAAAATGAAAGCCCTAGGGAATCATTCTGTAGTCAGTAGTGCTGGATTTGGATTCAGGAAGATCTGGGTTCAAATGTAGCCAAAATCACGTAACTCTAGACAAGTCACTATGTATCTGGGCCTGAGTTTCCTTCTCTGTAAAATGAGGGGATTGAATTCAACAGCTTCTAAGTTCCCTTCTCGCTCTAAATATAGAATGTTATGGTTCCCCACCTGCATCATTCTCTCAACGAGTATTTGCTTAACATCTAATGTGTATATTACATGTTGTGTTTAATCTGGACCTATGATTTCTTTTTTTAGACTATTTAAAAAAATTTTTTTTCTCTACATCCTATCAGACTCCTTCCCTGCTACTGAACAAAAAGAACAGAGCAAAGGAAGCCTTTACAGCAAATATGCACAATCATACATTACAAATGCTCCCATTGGATATGTCCAAAAATATATCTTATTCTGCATCTTGAGTCCATCACTCCTCTGGCAGGAGGTGGGTGGTAAACTTGAACCTCCCTCTGTCTTCTGGAATCACGATTGTTATTTCGAGGATCAGAGTTCCAAAGTCTTTCCAAATTCTATCTTTGCAATGTTGTTGTCATTATATAAATTATTCTCTGGGTTCTACTTATGTGCCTCTGCATCACTTCATAGAGGTCTTCTCAGTTTTCTCTGGAATTGTCCTTTTGTCATTTTTTATGGCACAGTAATATTCTATTGCATTCATATGCCGTAGTTGTTCAGACACTCACCAATAGGTAGCTACCCTCTTAGTTTCCAGATTTTTGCTACTACCAAAAGAGTTGCTGTAAAAAATATACATACATACATACATACATACATATATACATACATACATATATATACATATATATATATATGTGTGTGTGTACATATGTATATGTCTGACTCTAAGGTGTACCATCTATGTGATAGCCACAATGTCTTCCATGTAACATCTTCTGCTCCATCACCCCTTCTCTCTCTAGTCAGGCAGCATTCTTTACTGTTTGTCTCCTCAGCAAACTAATGAATCTCACCTTTCCCTTTCTAATTCTTCCCCAAAACTACCCTTTAGTTAGCTGGCCACAGGCCATGAGAGACAGTCTTGGAATGATGGATGGCATTCTGACCTTTGACTGAGAATCCTAAACTTTTAGATCTGGAAGAAAGCTTGGAAATCAGCTATTCTAACCCTCTCATTTTACTGGGGAAGAAACTGAGGCTCTGAGAAGTGATTTATTTGTCCAAAGACAGTGGTAAAGCTGTCTGGCTCCCCTCACCTCTCCCACTTTAAATCAGAGATTTTTAATTTGTGTGTGTGTGTGTGTGTGTGTTAGTGCTCTCGGAAGTTAGATACCCCTTTGGCAGCGAAACCTAAGGTCACCTTCTCAGCATATTTATTGCTTACATTCATAATTGAAGGAAATTCTAAATTTCGATAAAGGTTTGTTTAAAAAAAAGTGGATTTTTTTTCCCCAACCAAGTTCATAGAGCCATAAAATCTATTCCCTGTTCTGGGATCCCAGGTTAAAAACCCCTGCTTTAAATCTTTCATGCCTGCTTCTGAATATGGTTAAGACTACAATTCTCCGGGTATACTATGGCTATGTAGAAACTTAACATTTCTCCAATTCAAGGTTTTCAAAGCTTCAACCTTCATTTTGACATCTGGATGTTTCCAAACAGGAGCCAGTGCAATTATGCAAATCCAAGGAATCTGATTACCTGGGGCAACTACAGTTGGAAACCCTGACTGATAGCATCTGTTTGAGATATCTGGAACCTGGGAACAGATAAACGGGTGGGAGAAAATTTTTAATAGAAAAAGGAGAGGAAAGTAGGGGAAGAAGACTTATAGAAAACTAGAGTGGGTTTAATAATTTTCTTTTCAAATGCTTCCTTCCCTAACCATGCCCATCCCCAACCCCAGGCTACTGGTGACTCTGAGTCTGGTGGATTGCTTGAGCTCTGGAGTTCTGAATTTCCACTTAGCCTATCAGGGTATCCTCACCACCACCATCATCATCCTCTTCATAAGAGCTAACATTTATATAATGCTTACTATGTGCCAGGCACTGTGATTAGCACTTTACAATTATCATCTCATTTGATCCTCACAACAATTCTGGGTGATAGATGCTATTATTATTCACATTTTACAGATGGGGAAACTGAGGCAAACATTGGTTTACTGACTTTTCCAGGGCCACATAGCATCTGAAGCCAAATTCAAACTCAGGTCTATCCAAATGCTTTAGCCATTGTATCACCTAGAACTGCCCATGAAGGCCAGCACCAATATGGTGGACCTTTGGGAGCAGCATGAAGCTGCCTAAAAGGAGGCAAAGTAGCAGAGCAGGTTAAAGATATCAGCAATAGGGTCTGGCCTGTGGGTAAATGTTCTTCTGGGTAAGATAAGGAGATTCATTCAATAAAATTAAAAATAGCATTAAAAAAACAAAACAAATCTTCCCCATTTTCCTTGACATTTCTTTTATAAGTAAGTTCCAGAGCTTCCAGTCTAACTTGACTATTGATGGGGTATGGGACCTGAACCTCTAAGAAGGGTTCTTGAACTTTCCCACAAATTTCAGCAGCCCAGATCCCTGATATTCAAGTGAAGCATTGTCCTTCCCAGTATAATCCTTTCAATTGTTCTTTCATTGTGCCCCCACCACCCCCACCCAATCCAGCCCTTTATTCTCTGTTACCTTCGGACTGCCCTAGGCTACTTACCACACCTAGATCCCATCCAGATCTTCCCACAGTCTTTTTCCCTATAAAAGTATCAGTTTTGTCCTTATCAAATGCGGAGACTCACTGGTGTCATGAGAAACTTCGCACTTTGACTGAAAGAAGGCATGAGTGGTTGAATTCTTTCAAGGCAGACCTCCAACCTATACCCTTGCATTTCAGGGTTCCTAGCACTCCTAGACAACAACACTATGATGCAGACACAATAACAATTGTGATGACGATGATAATAATAGCTCACATAATCATACCTTGCATTTCTCAAGCAATTTTACATAATTCTCTCATTTGATCCTCACAAGAGAGCCATGGGGGGAAGTAGGGTAAGCCATTATAATCCTCATTTTGCTGATGTGGAAACAAAGTAAAAGTCCAGCAACTTGTCCAAGGTCATATAGACAGTGACCAAGCTGGAACTGAAGAGGTCTAGAGGTTTGGGGTGCTCCTGGGAACCCGGAGGTAGAGGTGCCGGGCCTTGCCTGAAAGAATTCAACTCAAATCTTCTTCCAGCCAGAGCAAAAGTTTATTAGTGATAAATCACATAGGCCAGGTGACGCCCATAAGGACAGGTGGGCATGAGAAAGACTCAGCCTTTTGGGCATGAGATTCTTAATGTCTGAATGGGGGCCAGGGTGGAATTTTTATACACTGAAGTAACTTTGGGTGGCCAGAGAAGGGGGCTGGGAAAAGGGTCTAGGTAAGAATTCTGATTGGGAGTTCTGAGAGATTGAATAGACAATGGGAATAGATAATGGTGGGAACTGGAAGGCATCTGAATGAGATCAAAAAGGTGGGGCTAGGGCATTCAAAGGGAAATAAGGGGAGTTGAATAGGGGAGTCAATAAGGAACCTAAAATGGGAGGCAGATTCTTTTTTAGGTCAAGGGGCAAAGGTGCATCTGAATAAGATTAAAAAATAGGGCTAAGGCTTTCAAAGGGAGATGAGGGGCTGGGACCTGTAGAGAAATTGGGAGCCAGATTCCCTTTGGGGCAAGGGGAGAAGATCTTGGCTTGGGCCCCACCCCCATCAGAACTAAACTTCAGTCTCTCTTCTACCCTGGTACAAGGTACTTTACACACTTTAGTGTTTAATTACTTCCCCTTGACCGAGTCCCTAAGCAAAATGAAAGTGTCTGTAATTCAACCCATTTTTGGAGTGAAAGGAAAACTCCTCTTCTTCAAAAGCTGAGGGACACAATGGAAAAAAATCACTGGAGTTGGGAATTGGAATTGGGGCCCCAGTTCCCTCCAGCAAGACACATGGAAATCAGGACCTACCATCTAGTTGTCTGCCCTGCCCTGCCCTCCACTTGAAAGCCACCTTGGAGACCTGATCTTGGAAAGATCCAAAATAAACATTAATGTGGCACTTACCATATGCCAGGTACTGTGCTAAGTGTTATTTGTTTTTTTTTTCTTTAAACAAATATCTCATTTGATCCTTGCTAGGACTCTGTGAGGTAGGTGCTGTCATTATTCTCATTTTACAAAGAAGAACTGATGGGGTTGAGATCTGGGCCCCAGAAAGGAAAAACCCTGGACTTTCCCACAAGGCCAGATCTCTGGCATTCGCCTGAGGCTATAATCCCATCAACTGGTCTTTCATTGTGGCTACATCCAATCTTCCCTCCATTGTTTTACCTCCCTATGGCCCCTGGCTATTTCCCACCCTTAATCCTAGCTAGGCTCCATTCTCCCTTGGCCGTGAGGTCCAGGTCCTAGGAGTTCTGTTTGCCCCAGTTTACTGGCCACTCCTAGGTCCCTCCCACAGTCTTTCTGTATATAAGGTCCACCTTGTCTACGTTAAGATGCTTAGATTCTTGAAATCTAGCCACTGCTCAGATTTTCACAGTCTAGCCAATAGCCCATAGATGCTCAGATTCCTTAAGAGTCTGGCTAATATGGCGAATCTTCAATAAACCATGTTTTTGGCATGTTTCAGGCAGGACCCACATGTCGTGATCTTGGGGTTCCAGGACCTCTAACCTCTAGACCTCACCAGAAGCAGTGGCAAAGGTTAAGTGACCTGCCCAGTGTGACATAACCAGTAAGTGCCTGAGGCTGTATTTGAACTCAGGACTTTCTCATTTCAGGCTCAGCCCTCTATCCCCTGTACCATCTGCTGTTCCTCTGCCCTGTGCTGTGGTTAATCCACTCAGTGTTGATACTCTGCCCTTGAGGCTAAGATGTGCTGAATGGTGAATGAGTGAGTATAGACTCAGTTTACCATATCTACCAGGCCCCAGATTATGCTTCCTATCCTATCCAAGAAGCCCCATTGAATCTATGAGGCATGCAGCCATCAGTCTCCTCTCCCTCACTTTCCACCTCTTAATTCTCTCAGCCCCCAGACTTCTAACTTCCCTAACCACCACTCACCTTTTTGCATTGTCTCCCCTACCCCTTGAGGGCAAAATTTGCCTAATTAATTCTAACACTCTCTCAGTTGATTATTTCCTATTTATCCTGTTTGGCACAGAGGAGGTATTTAACACATTTTTTTTTCTTTTTCTTTCATGCATTCATCTATAAAATGAAGGGGCTAGATTAAATGGCTACTAATGTCATTTACATGGGCAGCTAGGTGGTAAAGTGGATAGAGTGCTGGGCCTGGAATAAGCATTTATATAGCATCTACAATGTGTCAAATACTGTACTAGGCACTTTACAAATATTTGTCTCATTGATCCTCACAACAACCCTGGGAAATAGGTGCTATTATTACTCTCATTTTACAGATGAGGAAACTGAGGCACAGGTTAAGTGACTTGCCCACTGCCAAACATCTATTAAGTATTTGAGTCAGGATTTGAACTTAGGTCTTCCTGATGACTCTAGGCCATCTATCTGTTGTTTGGGTTTTCAGCAGAGAAAAGTACAACTGAGTCTGGGTCTCAGGGGAAGCAGTATTTCTGTAGCACTTTCCTCATCTGGGAATATAGGAAGTAAGGTGCTAGTTTGCCAGAGTCAAATCAAGATGTCTTCCCTCATCTGGACCCATGAAGGAAGCTTCTCAGCCTTGGGAGAAAGGAATTTGACAGAATCATAGAATCCCTGAATTGGAACCAATTGTGAACTCCTGGAGGTCAGGGACTGTCCTGCATCTTTCCTTATATCCCAAGTGCTTACTGTACTGGCACAGATTAGGTGCTTAATAAATGCACTGACCAACTGGAAGGAATTTCAGAAGGTGTCTAGCCCAGCTCCTACTTGAATGAGAACTTCCTCTTTGGCAACTGAACGAGTGGTCATTCAGCTTTCCCTTTAAGATCAACAGTGTTGCAGAAGTTGCTACATCCCAAGGCAGTCCCATTCCATTTTTTAACATCTTTGCTTTCTAAGGAAGTTTTTCTTTTACATGGAGTCTGTTGCAGACACGGCTTTAAAGCCAGTGCCCTCTTAGTTCAGGTTCCATGTTGGGACTGAATGAAGCACTCTGAAAAGTCACTGAATACAAAATGGTAGAGATTTGCTTGCAACAAGGTTGCGGTAGTGCTTAGCTTTTCTGGATGACAGCCCCACCTCCTTTACATCTGGAAAAGCATCTGGTCAGTCAGTCACCAGGATATGGTGATTTGTGCAATCTCAGGCATCCAATGAGTCTGACTACACTTGTCTGGAACCTTTTAGCCTCCAGACCAGAAAAATGCATCAGAGGAGCTGGGACCAAATCAGGTAGAGTTTGGGGAGGAAGTTGTCTCAGGAAAACTTCACCAGGAAACCATTGGTCCTATCTTAGAGCCAAAATCTGCCTCTTGGCAACTTCAATCCATAGCTCCTGGTTCTGTCCTCTGGCACTAAGCAGAAAGAACAAAGCTAATACCTCTTTCACACAGCAGCACTGCAAATATTTGAAGGCAGGAATCATGGCCACCCTGGGTCTACTTTTCTGGCTACGCATTCCTAGCTGCCTCAAATGATCTTTACCCATCTGTATCCAGTTCATTCATCTCCATCTGTATGCAGCAAAGATTTTTTACGGGCCTTTACCAGTGCTAAGAGCCAAGATTATCTTAATATGTGGAGTAGGCACTCATGTCTCTGGTATGCATTGAGGAATGATGGAAAAGCCTTTCAGTGCTCCTTCCCCCATATATCTCCTTCTGTCGCTAACACCTAAAATCTCTCCATTAGTGAGTCATTCCTTAGGATGAGTATTTTGCCTTTTCTGGATGGTTCTATTGAAATATAAATTCCCTGATCTATTAAGGTCTTCTTGAGCCTTGACAACAGTTTGTAGGCAGTAAGAAATCCTGGGCACTTGGTGGTAGCAGAAAGGGGTTACTGAGAAAGAAAAGAGGGACTTTGGGAAATGGGAGAAGGCTACCAAAGGTGAATTTTTTCCCCAATTTCACTGAGGGCCCTGTAGTTGCCCTCCCAAGACTCAGCTTTGGATCACTCCCACCATCCGTTGCCTTTGCTGCTACATACATGTCACTGAACAAAGCTAGAGAAAGTCACAAAAATGTGTTGACTGGGTCCACTGCATATTTAGACTATGCAAACTCAACTGGGCTTTCATTGCTGCTAAGTAATCCTTTTTTTTTTTTTCACCTCTCTTATCAACTCACTATCCCATTCACCACAGTGGTTTTCTAAACCTTTTTTCAACCCTCCTCAAACCTCCTATGACTATCCCTGCCCCCATCCTCTCAACTGAGAACCTTGTCTCATATTTAGCTGAAAAAATTAAAGCCATTTGTCATCTCACATCATTCAGATGACTTCTGCCACTGTCTCCTCCTTGACCCCTGTCTCCCACGAAGAGGCGGTCCTTCTCCTTGCCAAGGCTCTGTGTGCGCAAGTGATCTCATTCCATCTGGCAGGATGCTCTTTCTAACATCCCCACTTTTTCACTTATCTTCAATCTCTCCTTGCCTATCGACTGTTTTCCTACTGCCAATAAACATGTCCATGGCTCACTCATCCTCAAAAAACCTTCCCTTGATCCATCCATCCTCAACAGTGAACATCCAATATCTCTCCTCCCTTTTTATGGCTAAATTCCTTGAGAAGGCCATCTACACTGGGTACCTCCACTTCCTTCTCTCTCACTCTCTTTTTATCTCTCTACGTGCTGGTTTCTGACCTCATCATTCAACCAAAACTGTTATCCCCAAAGTTACTAA